ATATCTTTGTGCCATGTGTGTTTAAGAAAGACATAATTATTTTTTTTGTTAAAAACAATAGTGCAAGTCTGTAACTGTATTAACACGTTAAAATAATTGTAATCTATATTTCCATATTGACAGTGGATTAAATAAGCACTAGTCTCATTGTTTTTGTTTTCAGGTCTGTAACTTTACTGTTTTCTTTCACTCTCACTGAAAAAAGGTCTGAACACCCACTGTACACTATCTGCTCAACCCTCAACCCTTCACACAATTAGCAGCTATTACCCTCAGGAGTTAGTGGAGACTATTAACAGAGCTATAAGGAAAGTGAATAGTGAATTAGCCAGGTGACCAGTAACTGCTAGATGTGTAAATAGGCATCAACATATATCAACATATAAACTATAGTTGATATATGTAAGTATAATGTTCACAGCTCATTTCCGCTGCCCCCAAGTGGCCAAAAAATCCATATTGCAGGTTTAAAAAGTGTCCCCTAAAGAACATGTATAATTTTCTGAGAAAATCTACTAAATCATATGTGAAAAAAGACTGTGGGAGGTTACTAATTTGTTATCTTACAGATAAAAATCAATGAGAGGATTGGCACAAAAATCATCTCTGTTTACCTCACAAAATGCTGGTTTATTCCTAAATGCCAAAGCACCTCATGCAAGCATATGCACATTCAAAAATGTGAGGTAATATTTTGTATGTTAAGAGAAACAAATTCAGACCCCTTTCTCCCCTTATTTTTCCAGGCAGTGTTGTTTACTTGGGGATGATGGTCGGCGCGTTGTTCTGGGGAGGGATGTCTGACAAAGTGGGCCGCAGACAGTGCCTCCTCATTTGCATGTCCACGAACGGCTTCTTTGCCTTCCTGTCATCTTTTGTCCAGGGATATGGCTTATTCCTCCTTTGCCGCCTCTTCGCAGGCTTTGGGTAAGTCTGATAAAGTGGAAGGAAAACCATCAGTTTAAATGATTTGTGAACACTATGTTAGTTTAAAATCTCCTTCTTTCTCAACAGGATGGTCACACTATCTGAGTATATGTCCAAAATCAAAGTGTGCACCAGTCAGTTAGTGAGAGTAAATAATTAATCTCTGTGAGGGAAAATCTATTTGAGGAGAGTCTGTGTTGGCATGTCTGTGACGCCCCCCTAATTATTTCTCCCATTGTTGAATTCCACTGAGTCAGTGTTTATTATAAGTAGTATAAGTTAATTGTAACAAAAAGCTGTTTTATGTTTCTGAGTTGTTTACCATATCTTATCTGTCAAGTATCCTTTGCAGCTGAATAAATTTAATTTTCTCCTACTGCTTCTTTGCAGCGCAGTAAAAACTGTTAACAACCAATGTCTCAGATGTTATAGTCAGTGACATCCTCTCTCCTTAAATACAACTTCAATAAACACTCTCGCAATCTTAGAATTTCTTAAAATAACCAGTGTGTGAAAAATGAAAACTCATCCTCTTAATAGATAAAACATGGTGTGGATGTTGATTTATCATCTTCTTTGGCAGTGTAACTGTTCCTTTAAGAGCTAATTCAGTAATTGCATTTGCTTCACTCTCCCCAGAGACCTCCAGAGTAATTGAAAAGGCTGTCCAAACTGCCAATGCAACCTGTGCCTCTCAATCACAAAGAACTGGCACTGAGGATGTTTTTTGTATTATATTTTGGAAAAGAAATGCTTAGTTGTGCATATTTACTGCCTACTTGTCTCTTGTAATCTTTGCAATGAACCAGAAAACAAGCTAAAAAAGATTTTACAGAGGTAAAAGGCTGAATAAAATATTTTAGAATGAACATTTAATCAAATTACAATTTCATTTGCAATGTCTGAATTGTCCTTCAACTGGAGGAACAAAAATAAGACACAAACAGAGGGATTAAGACAAAACATGCACAACAAAAGCAATCATGAATGCATCTGAAAGATGTAAAACACAAGGATTAATTAAGTTTAGTATGTGTCCTGGTTTGGGCCACACTCGCACTAACTTTTCCATTCTCTCTGGTTCTTGCAGGATAGGAGGTGCTGTGCCCATCGTTTTCTCATTCTTTGCAGAGGTGTTGTCCAGGGAAAAAAGAGGAGAACACCTCAGCTGGTTGTGTATGTTCTGGATGATTGGAGAGATCTACGCGTCTGCCATGGCCTGGGCAATCATACCACACTATGGTGAGTTAGCAGAAAAGAGCTTAAGATTGTGCCTCATAATACAGTCATATCTAATTAAAGCCTTGACAGGATTACAGTTAGCAACACTGATGAGACGCTTGGCAATGTGACTTTGTCCTAAGCTACTGACAACAGGTTATAAAACTGTAAGGCTTCCCCGTTGCCGTGGGTTGAGGTGATAGTTTTCCCTTCCATGAGAATCAATCACTTAATTGGTCTGAGTGGCTGCAGGCTGCGAGAGGCAGAGGTTAGGAGATTAACATACGTATGGATACCATAGAGTAGATACATGCTGAAAGGGCATGTGGGAGAGAGAAAGCTGTGATTTATGAGAATATTGCATTAGATATCAGCTGCACTCATCATGAAAAGAAACAAAAAGAAGGGAATGAGCTTTCTTCCTCTCCTCCTACTCACATTCCTTTTACTGCCTCCCCTCTCCTCCTGTTTTGTACTCTCCCCATCTCTCTGTCTAACTCTGTCCTTCCTTTTATTACCTCTCCTCTCTCTCCAGTCTCTGTCTCCGCTGAGTGTTCTTCTTGATCAAGCATAATTAGGTTTTTCTCCTTGCTCTAATAGGACAAAGCTACAGCTAGAGGTGATTTATGGCCAGACCATGCTTTAGCCAACCTGTGACGTCAGTGAGAGGGAGACGGTGTGTGTGTGTGTGTGTGTGTGTGTGTGTGTGTGTGTGTGAGAGAGTTGCTGTAAGTGGCATGGATGATGTTTTACTGGGCTGCAGCCACATACAGGTTTTCTTCAAGGCAAATTGAAGGCAATAACATCTGACACTGTAAGAGGTCATTTGGATTAACACACACACATACATAAAGGCATATGAGGACACACACACACACACACTCGCTCATCATGGAGTTTCTGATAAAGGACTCCTCAGTTTCCTTTCCTTACGGTTACCCGAGGAGATACATACACACATGCACAAATGCACACACTGATGTGTATCCGCTCACATGGTTTTACAGAGGCACACTGGTGATGGACTCATAAAACCCTCTGAAACCAGAACAAGTCTTCACAAGGAAACTCTGCTGTCAGATTTGCTGATATTGTATTGAAGGGATGGTAGTGGCCTTACTTTGCTCTTATTCTCTCTGACACTCACTACCACTCTGCCTCTCTTTCTCTGAGAGGAAACTACGTGTCTTGCATACATACTCCTGCGCTCACCAGTGGTTTTTATGTTTTCCCAAAAGTGCTGCAGTGCCTGCAACCAACAGCGCTACGATGTGTGGGCAAAAATGCCTCCTGCAGAGATACCTTTATGTCTTTGAATGAAGGTATCAGGTTATGATACAAGTGTCTCAACACTTGTGTTTAATACACCATTAGACCTCTCATTTATCTTCTCCACTCGCTGACTCCTAATGTCTCCCAAAAGCCCCCTGCCAGACTCACAGCTGGGGCCCTGAAGGAGGTCTGCTCGGCACTGAGCCTCATCACACTGACGGGAAAGTTTGAGGAGTGTACTTGCTGCCAAGCAAGCCCACCACTAGAGTAACCTCATTAGACACTGCTCAGATCTACAGATTAAAGATTAAATACCCCCCAGTGAACTTCACATCATTGTCAATTACTTGTAACTCCTCTACTTGTACTACTTGAAAGGGATTAAGGCACTGAAGGCATTAAGTAAACCACCACATGAAGGAATGCACTGCAAGATAATTTTTTTATTGATTTTACATTAGGAAGTTTGCAGAAAGGACAGCAGGAAGAGAAATCTGTCTGTCTGTCTGTCTGTCTGTCTGTCTGTCTATCTATATATCTATAGTTCTATCTTATCTATCTATCTATCTATCTATCTATCTATCTATCTATCTAATCTATCTATCTTATCTATCTATCTATCTATCTATCCTATTCTTATCTATCTTATCTATCTATCTATCTACAGTATCTGGGCCTGGGAGTAGCGTAGCACTGCTGACTCAGTCATCCATAGACTTAGTCAATTATGTACATAATCCCTATAATGAGATTTCCAATGGCATGGGTGAAACACTAACCCTGAGGGGCAGGAAGCCACTCTACATTTCTGTAGAAAAGGCAATCACTGCTGAACAACTCCTTCCCTTT